ACATCACAATCATTTTTTGGAATGGTTTCGACCGATTCGCCACGCCTGTTTGACGACAAAGTCAGGGAAAAGACTTTGCTGAGACCTTGGCACCCAGCAAACCCATGATGCTTACCCATGGCTGGCCAACTCAATCCACATGTGCTTCTTGGCAAATCAGACTTCAGGCCTTCTTATCTTGGGAATAGACTGATTATCCACTTAACTCGAATTGGATTTGCCCGCCGTTTGTTCGCAATCACACGACACGCTGTGCTCCACATGCACATGTGTCGCTGCCGGTATGTCGCTGCACCCCTCGTTTTCAGGCTGCGAATGATGTGGCTCAGCATTTGACGTGTCTCAAGCTTTGTTTTGCGCTCAGTCTGGTTGGATGCGCTAGCGGCTAGCGTTGAAGACTCCTTTTCTTCGCGGAACGGTGGCTGTCGAGGACAGTCGCTGTCTAGGACACACAACAGCCCGCATGAGCTAATAAAAAGCCAGGCTTAAGCTTAACGAGTGTACGAAACAAATGGTGTGGTGGCGGAGTTAGTCCTGTGGGAGTCTATAATGAGTTTTTTTTTTTTTGCAGAAAGCTGAGGCTCGGGTTCTACGTGGAGTTTACCTAAGCTTTGCGCTTTGAGACTGAGGACAAGAATCTCGAGGTTTTCGATGCTTTCTAAAGGGTTTAGGAGGGCTCGGGGCTCGGGTTCTAGGTGGGGTTGACCTACGTAAGGCTTGTGCTTTGGGACTCCGGACAGCTTCCTTGCTTTCGCGGGATTAGGATGGCTGAGGCTCGGATTCCAAGCCAACCAAGGTCAAGGGGGTCATGGTCGGGGGGGAGGGGGGGGCGAAGGGCCCACTAAACCCGCCACCGCATTAGACCTTTTGTACTAACATACCTGTAACAACACTCCAAGTAAGCACTCGGCGATTTTCAACAAAAGTCTTACATACACTCTTTGGAGCGTTTACACCCGCCTCGGAAAGGGACGACAAATGGGTATAGCGGCCGACACCAGACTCGAAGTCAGAACGCACGCCCCAAACTTCGCCTCATAAGCCGGTCCCAATAACAGTTTTCAGGATTGTAGCCATCTGGGGCTGCAGCACCAGAGCTTGTTTCGGCTCGAAAGATCGTATAGGTCAAGTCGCCTGCCTTCGCCAACCAGCTTAAGCCAGTTCTGTGAAAGAAGCCATGGACATCCACCGGGTCACGGTAGAGGGCGGCCACGCTCGGCCGTCTGGATGGAGATGCCCAAACGTCGCATATCGGAACCTCGTATAGTAGGCTGCTCCGACCCTCCGCCTCGCCAGCGCCGCCCTGCATTCCTCCTCGAGCTGTGGCAAAACCATACCCTGCGGAACCCACGCCAAAGAGCGCTTCAGCGAGGTCGTCCGCCTGGTCCTCGGCAGGTTTTTCGCCCAACTGTTTTCGGCTTCGGTGCTTCCCCGTGAGGCGACACGCATCATGAAATTGGAGGACCGCAGCGGGAACATCTGCAGAACCGACACCGCCATGGTGCCAATCAAGGCCGCGTCCTGCTGTGACCTTGCTCGGCCTACTCCTTGACCACCAGTGTCCCGGTAGTCTGATAGTTGTCAAAGGCAAAGTCACGGGCCGCTTCAACGCCATGCTCTCGGCGCCACCGCCCTGCCAGCTGGCCCGGCATGGTAATGAGGGCCGGCCCCTCCCCAAACACTTGGAGTACGAATCTGAACCGAGCACGTTTCACGCCAACCCGACACAAGGCAACGGTTAGTTAAGGCAAGGCAACTCCTGCGAGCACTGCGAACACGAAGTGGCCAAGATGGGCACTGAGCAAGATAAAGTGCCTGCACCCAAGGTTGGTGGTTCACTGGCTCACACGAAGCACAACGGCTCACAGCCGTAGAAAACAGAAGAAGAAGCAACAGCGCACCGGCCCTGGGCCGGCCCGTTTTCACATGAAAACCATGGACTTTGTCGCCGCATGCACAGATGTCACAAAGGTGAGCGCCAAAGGGCGTCCCAGCCCGGCACCTATGCAGGACCTACACACATCTGAAACAATAAGCTTGCATGCGGCGAGTCACAACGACGGCAATCCAAGGGCGTGAGCGCAAGACCGGCAGGCAGCCAACAGCACCGCAGCCAGCCTCGGTTGCCCCAAGCCACATCCAACGGCCGGGGTGTATCTGGCATCATCTGGCTGCCCAATCCGCTGGATGAGCCGGGAGGCGTGAGTGGGCAAGATCACAACCCTGAGGGAAGATCCAAGATCTGCAAGATACCCAAGCACTCAGGGCTTTCGGCGCCCACGCCACTCCATACATCTCCATGCTTGCAGCCGGGTGCAAAATGGATTCCTCGGTATGGTGGGCCATTTAGAGAAAAACATGTTCCACGTCCCACAGGTCACCCCTGTACTGAAAATGAGACAGGCTCACCAGAAAAGTAGCGTCCCGGCTTGAGCCAAAATCAGCCTTCCAAAGGCCTGTCCTGGCTTGAACCCCTCCCGGTTGGGTGATGGATGCCTGGTGAGTTAGCGCACAAAATGGATGGCACCCAACTCCTGTAAGCTGACCGTCCGCATAGTAGAAAAAAACACTTTGCCAATGGCAACAAGGGTGGCGTCCTGTCATTGCGATATGGCTCAGAGAAGCGAGTGCATGACTTCGGCAGCAGACCAAACAATGGAGAAAACCATTTTCAAAGCCTAACTCATGGATGTAACTTCAACAGGGCGTCAACCGGGCTAAGGCTGGAACGCAGCACTCCTGGAAAGGACTTGAAACTCCAAAGAAACTGAAATTGGAGCACCACCGGATAGTACGCTCCCAAGCAAGCTTTCCAGACCAGTCTGATGTTAAAACAGAGGACAGCAGTCGCACACATCCAGGCACCACCTACTCTATGCTTGCTCTTCGAAGCAGCTGCACTGCATCCCGACAACCTCGAAGTCTGGTTCTCAAGTGCATGGGTGGCTATTCCTCTTCCAGTCGATCCGGGTGTTGAAGAAGCGTTGCACCGCAACCTCCAGTCGACTCAACAGTTTCAGTCACTAGCTCTCCTGGCTCTGAAACACCACACCCTAAACCCTAAACCCTAAACCCTAAACCCTAAACCCTAAACCCTAAACCCTAAACCCCAAACCACGCCTCGTAAGCTGTCACTGCAGCTGAGGCCCCCTGGACGGTGCCATTGATGCCCTGGCTCGCGAGATGCGTGGGGGGCCCTGTGCTTTGTATTCCCAACTCTACTACACAATTTAGGGTTTAGGGTTTAGGGTTTAGGGTTTAGGGTTTAGGGTTTAGGTTTTAGGGTTTTGGGAGCCCTTATGACACGGCTATCCATCTTGCGATGAATTTTGCAGACTACAAAGGTCTGGGCTGCGTGCTGCGCGCATCTTCACCACGCTAGAATCGAAGACTTCACGGCCCCGGCAGCTTTGGCAGTCCCTTTCAGGTGCTACGAATCGTAGATGAAGCAAAGGTCTGCCAAGGTTCCCAGAGACTCCAATATCCCTTAATTCAGGAATATACCTTAAATTATAGTAGGATCCCTAATATGATTTAAGGTATATTCCTTAATTAAGGGATATTGGAGTCTCTGGGTTCCTGGTTCCGGCTGGACCCTCAGGCGTCAGGAAACTGCATTCCGTGGACACCGAGCTGCTGTGTTTCACTGAACCCACATGGGCCAATCATACGAGAACAAAACCCCCCGGTGCCTCCAAGGCCACCAAAACGCGGCCAGAGAGGCTTAGCCTTGCAGTAAGGCGGAATCAGCGGAATCACGCATGCCATGCCCGGTTTGGCGGAAGTTTGCACATGCTAGAAAATGGAGCCTTTCCAAGCACCGACAGATGCTGACATCATCTCTGGTTCTGTTGCTCAGACGTGCGCTCTGCTCCAAGTCGCTGCTGCCTTGGGCTCCGAGCACTGCGCTATGAGACTACCGCCACGAATAGCCATGCTTTTTGAGGCCACATGGCCGCAGATCTGCAAAAATGGAGTGCACGCTTCTGGGAAAGCACAGGCGTCGCAGAAGTAGAAGAATCTCGTGGCACGTCATGCCAATCATGCGGCAAAACATCAGCTTGGACATCCCGCCGGTTAGCAGAGTGAAGAATTTGGGAGTGAAGGCTATGTCTGGCATGACTCCGAAAGCTCCGACAGCCACCCAACAGGGACCCGCCGTGACCTGCGGCCTTCGGACTTCGTCTCTGGACTTCTGAAGTTTAGGACAGTTTAGCCACTGGCAGGCCCCAGGGCGGGAGACCAGCAGCCCTTCGAAGAGAGAAGCGTCATTTGCTTCACCGCGGCTGCCGGTTTCCGCTTTGAGGATCGAAGCTTTCGCCACGAATAAGCTAAAGCACGGGAAGGATTTGAGTGCTCAGGTCTGCAGCATTCGGCAGAATGACTTGCAGGCCGAGCGCCAGTTGATCTGGCAATTTAAAGATTTAGAATTAGTGGCAGACAGCCAGGCGGTGGCGTTGGCGCCACCGCTTCCTTTCGCCACGAAAATCGCTAGAACTTGCAGAAATACCACACATACTGCACTCAGTGCATCTATGTGTGCCGTTGCTATGCGGAATGTTGAAGAAGGCACTCGCGAGATTTCAAAATCACAAGCTCTTGTGCTTTACCCTCCAAAACAAGAGGAGGATGAACGACCTCTGTTGAAAGGTCGTGCCGTGCGGTGCCCACTTCAGGTGCAAATTTTACCAATGCCATCAGACTGCATAACTGTGAGAGCTTCCGGCGTGAGCCTATTCCCCAGCAAGCATGCTGAGAAAAGTGTTCGGCTATCCTTGCAACACATGCATTCGTTCTTAGCTGGGCGATTTAATTGGAAAGGCCAATCGGAAGTGTCTGTGCAAACCCAGGACATGAACACCTGCGGAGATGTGCTCGTGCACCATGGGCTTAGGGTAAAATGATGGCACTAGCCAGCATCTTCCGTCTCCTTGAACCCCTTGCTTGCCAGGAGAGAGTCAAGCTATCACAGCACGCGAATGCGCAGCTGGCTGTTGACATCAGCCGCCCATGACGGTGGACTGGAGTCCTCAGAAGCGCAGCAGGTTGGACTCATTCAAACATGGACATCCAGGTGCAATCATTGCAGAGAAGTCCGGACACGTAAACCGAGGCTGGGGCCCTCAGCCCTCGGCTTTTGACTTGAGATGGCATGGAGGAACCAAAACACGAAGCAACGCTCTCGGTGGCCAGGGTTTAGTGACAGGTTTATGAAAAGATGCGAGTTTGTCTCCAAGCGGCCCCACAGGGTCCTTGTAGGCCTGAGGAGGGACCAAGGCCTGGACCAAAGCGGGGTACCACCAATGTGTGACATGCGAGACAAATTTGCAGTTTGGCAGCTGTGCATCGTTTCATCTCTGCATCTCCGACCTTACCATGCTGGAGCCGTGCCGGTATTGCGAACCCGGCTTCGGATTACGAAGTGATGGAAGCCGCTTGGCGGGGCTGGGATTTGCAGCCGAGACACTGCCACCTGAAACATCATCCACGTGCGTCGCAGTGCGTTCATTTGCACATATTGGACGTTGTGTTTCTTGCATATGCCTGATGCATTAGCCGCATTGCCGCACATCACAGCTCCAGCAGCAGATTCACAGGCAAGCAGCTTTTCACAAGTGGCTGGAGCTTCCGGTACCTGCGTTCCACCGTTGTAAACAGAGAGACTGAGGCGAGACCGACGTCGAAAGCCATCGCATGTGCGGCTCGGTGCGGCACTGGAGCGGAGTCATATCTGGGAACATGTGATGTTCCACCTGATGAAGCAAGTCGAAAGTGCACAAGATGCATCATGCTCTCGGTCACGGTCACTGAAATGGCCTGATAGTTGAGCCAGCCGTAGACCGTATCAATCAAGTCCTGAGTTGCGACGAACTCTCAATTCGAGACGCACGGAAGAAAGCACCAGGCGCATAGAAGGTGCTACGTTTGTGTCAATTGGTCCATGGAACCCGCCACACCGGAGCCCTGTAGCCCATCCTAGCCCTGGCTTCGTCGCGCGTCGTGAGTCCTCATGCTCACAAGGGACTGAGCTCTCACACAAATGGACTGCTGGCCAGATTTGCGCAGCACTGGCATGCACCCCGATGTACGAAAGGTGCAGCTGGAGAATGATGATGATGATCGCGCGTGGCTGCTCTACTTCTGCACAGCTGCTGTGATTGGAGCTGGTGCAATGCAGGACTCAAGAGAGCGTATCACATTTCTCCATCTCCGGAGGGGGTTGCACCGCGGTTCGGTAGCTGTGAGTCCTCTCCCCCTGGTTCGCTTTGATGCTACAACTGCAAAGAGAAAAAGGAAGCACGCTCAACTCCCGGAGAGCACCCTAAATGCGCCAAGGCTGCGTTGCCAGTCTCAAAGTTGGCGGAGGAGTAGGTGCACCGCAAGAGAAACTCTGCAGAGTAAGCCTCTCCAGGTGAAGTATAGTATAGTATATTATATTATATTATAGTATCTTATATTATATTATAGTATATTGTATTATAGTATATTATATTATATTATAGTATCTTATATTATAGTATAGTATATTGTATTATAGTATATTATATTATATTATAGTATATTATATTATAGTATATTACATTATAGTATATTATATTATATCTCTGACCTGAGAGCCCGAGACTGGCATCTTCAGGTCTGATATCCTCAGTGCCCCTACCGGCCTCGGTCACAGATCCTATGTAGGTACGCAGGACTTCCTTGAGGATGCCTGTTCTTGAAGACCCCTAAACCCTAAACCCTAAACCCTAAACAAGACCCACAATGAAACATATCGCTGTGATTCGGGAGCTCTCCTTGCTTCTACACGTTGCCTTCACATCCTGCATCCCTGCCTTCGACTTCGCTCCATTACGTCTCGCCCCGGCTATTCCTTCAACTACTGTTCGCCTTACACTACCGGCTCAAAGCACCCTTGAGGTCCCTTGAGATCTCTAGACCGTCCTTGCAAGATGTGGAGTAGCGATACAGGTCGCCACCGGAGTGGTTGCAGGCAATTATGACCTCAGGCGATCGGGAAACTAGCCAGCATCGGTCTCAGAACAGCAGGCGTTGACAACATGCTCCGTGGTCTCAAGGTTGCTTCGTGAATGACAAAGATCTGCTGTCTTCGCAGGCCCTGACAACCACACCACCGTCCGCAGAGGAGCGAGATCCGGTGCAGCAACACACGAAAGACTAAACTGCTCTGCGCCACTCCTACAATTGCACGATACCATGATTCCACGCTGCTACCGAGTTACAAAGGAATGCGCGTTGGAAAATAGGTCGGCCACCACGGATGTCATCAACACCCGCAGAGCGGCCTCTCGTGCGTGAATGTATGCGGGTCCGTCTCTAAACTTCATGCACGACTTCGTGAGCGACGTGAACCTGGATTTGCAATAGTGAAAAGGTCACTGAGTTTCTCTGCAACTACACACCTGCCTGGTTCGGGGTGATAGAGCTAGGCCAGAGTCCGGCTTGGCCAAGAAGTAGCGGCCACACCTGAGCACAGCTGGAGTCGTCTCACGTGGGCATCCTAATCACCGATCATGTCAGACTGTACGATGCAAGACCTCACGGACTTCCGGGAGCCTTTGAACACCTATTTCGTCACTTGCACCATCCCACACGAGCAAGGTGCACAATTTCATCAAGGGCACGCGCGAAACTGAGTCCGCTCCTTTTCACAGCCTAGCTGAGGCGATGACTGCTGGAAGGGCCACTGTGGCCATCATGGGCAAAATCACGCCAAACCTTGAAGACAGCGCCCATCTTCCCAAGTGCAGCTAAAGTGCTTACAAGCCGTGGACATGACAGGGTCACTGGGGACGTGGCCACTGAAAAAAGAAGACCATCCAGAAGACTGCTTTCTTGACATTTCCGCATGCCAGTGCCTGCTGTCCGACCGAGATTCTACAAACCATGCAGTGGTATTTAAAAACCGCAGAAAGCAATGACCCCCTAGAATTTGCCTGAAGTGGTCGCTTGACCCAGTCGAAGACAACAACCTCGGAAAAGATGTCTCACTGTATCACAGCAGATGACTAAGCCAAACATGAAAATTGCAAGTCACTAAGTAGGACGCTCTCTAGCACGTCCGTAATATCTTGTTGCTTCGGACGGGGTTCAGACAATGGACGTGCAACTGGGCAGGCATGGGTATACACCACGGCGAGAGCTGGCAGGTCGACGAGCTACAGGGGACAAGTCCAGAACACTATCACAACCCCGAGGACATTTCAGAAGGCAGGCCGGCTACTTAGTACCTTGATGACAGCATGCGCATGCAACAGGATTCCGAACACGGACAAGACTCGTTGACAATGAGTCGATGGTTGTACTTGGAACAGCTTCTTACCACATACAACTTCTACATGGTGTGGTACTACTATTGGCCTCGTGCCGTCACCGGATTCCCTGTCGCAAATTGTGTGAGGTGAACCTGAGCTGCTGGCCGGATCAGTCTTCTTGTCATCAGCTGGCCAGTTTTTTGCCAGCCAGCTTTCTCGCTTCGAGTTCATCAGCTCCTGTTGCACGAAAATCGACCAGTACACAGCCCGCGCCTGGGTGGATGTAATGCTCGGTGCATTCCTGTCCTTGAACGTGTTGGGAGAGTAGTAAGTGAACTTCCAGGTGAAGACCCACATGATCATCGAAACGTACTTCAGGGCCTGCCCAAAACGTCCAAAAGCAGAAGCAAGACGGTCCCATCCACTTCGGATTCCTACATTGCCCTACATCTTTACCAAGCCTGGCACTGAAACCTCGGGTCTGAAGCCCACTTCTCATGCTACACTTCAGGGTGTGTGCCCCAGCTGATGCTGCGCGTTTGAGACCTATGGCGTATGGCTGTGCAGATTTAACACGTCTCTAGCTGCACGTAGCGCAGCAAGGCCACGAGTTAGCAGTGCAGCCAGCCAGAAAAGCATGCAGATGCTGACAGAGCCTTCATTGCCATGTCTACTATCCTGCCAGCCCCCCCCCCCCCCACCGATGGAAGCGGCATGTTCCGGAGAATCTCGAAATTGTGCTCGACAAGGTCTGGATCCTTCTCCTCCGACAGGTAGTAGTGATGAGCCTCCACCAGACTTGTTGTGCTTGTATCTGCCGACAAACTGAATCAAGCTGTCCGCTTCTGGCCTTGTTGTGCTCCACATCCTCAGATGTTTGCACTGGCATGACAGCCACACATTATCTGAACTCTGTGATGTGCTATGAGCACGGCCCGTCTAGTTCGAACATTATCAAAATCAAGCTCAAAGCAAGAATCCAACCTGAAGCCTTCAAAGGCCAGACTGCTTGGGAGGGGCTGAATGAATTTAGAGCTTTGAAGGTCTTTGCTTCATTGCTATGTTCGTTGCTGCGCCAAACTCTCAGTGGGGTCTTCCGCCGAACATGCCTACCTGGTGTCGATAATGAAGTCACTAAGCCGACAGTGACCGATCCTCAAACTCGTAACTGGAGCCACTGTCATGCGATCAGTGGACTTTCATTTCGAGAACACAGCTGGGGCGATTCAAAACTTCATGTAGTTTTACAACGCTCACTTGCTGTCTTTGGGCATACCACTTTTCATGTGCTCTGGTTTGGCTCACTACGAACATGCTGCACAAGGGCACCACCTTTCTTCAAGCCTTTTGATTCTGAAATCTGTAATGCCAAGTCCCAAGCAAGAAAAGTTTTACTAGTAATTCACATCTGAGTCTCCCAAGCCTGTGGCATCATCCAGTCCATCCAATCGATAAAGCGGCGGATACCAATCGCAAAAACACCACGCCTGGTGAAGTCAGAACTCCCGAGATCCTCACTACATCAGGAAGTGCCTGCAGTCGATAAGGTTCAGCTAAGATGCTTGTAGTGCGACGGCAAGGCGTTGGGATGCGTTTTCTGAAGCTTGTCGAAGCCTGGCGGCTGTGCTCATTCCGAGGTGCTGCGACATTCGGATATGGGCGACCCTGTCACTACTAACCGTCTCATCATGCGTGCACCCAGGAACCTCCATGCGAAACGTGATGACCGATGATGGTCCACTTCATGCAACGGGCGAAGGAAATCATCAGGGCACCTGCACAGCTGAGAAGTGTAACGCAGTGCTCTCGAACGAAGCTCGGAGGGCACATAGGCCGCGTGTCCCTCTGACAGCTTGTAGACACTTACAGGCCATGAATGCCTCTACTAAGAGTCTAGCATCTAAGCGTCGACACCAAAAACCAAAGACTGCATAGAAAACGTCTACAGTGCATGGATGCATCCAGCTGAGAGCCCATAGTCAGGGCCTAGAGCCAGAACAGGCCAGGAGAAGTGTGGAAGAGCTGCACCCACCAGCAGCAGCGCATGACCTGCGTGCACAAACACTGTGCTGCTCCCACAGGCATGGGCCATGAAAGCGTCGCGGGGAAGTGCCGAGGTGTGCTACACCTAAAATACCGTGCAAGGAGAGCGGAGGGTAGGTGAAAAGGAGCAGGAAGGGGAGGAAAGCTGAGACCGAAGTAAACAAAAATGCTGGTCCTGGGCAAAGGTTAGTTTGCAGACCTCAATCAAGCCAATGAGTTTGGCAGAAGTTTGTTTTCACTCAAGCACCACTCTGTTCCTGGGCGACAAGAAGACATTGCTCCAGAGAAGTGGTGGTGGGTATATGGAACTGGAAAAAACGATGCCTCGGCTCTCACCAACAAAAGATGTCGGGAAACGCTGCACCCTAAAGCATATCAGTGCTGTGTAGTGAGCTGTTTCTAGTTTCCACAAGGCAAACGCTAGTGCACTAAGCAAGAACTACATTCGACCTTGATGGGAAACGGGGAGTGGCCTTCGAGAGACTTCAACGATGTTGATTCAAGCTCTAACTCTAAAGCATGCGGCTCGCCATCATCTTCGCATCGCTTTCATCGTGCTCTCATGAATATGCATCGCAATCGAAGTCATCATATCTGCAGGCAAGAAACCACCATAGAGCAGAACCTCAGTGTGCCATCACTGTCGAAAGCTGAGCGGCAGATTGAGTGTCGCAGTTTTCTCCTTTGATCCTATGATATTTGCACCCGTTCCAGCAGAGCACCTGCGAGGTCAGCACCAAACCTTGCAAGTGTCGCGCGTCTTCTTCTGTGGCCTCTCCCACTGCTGCCTTCACAAACTGCAAGCTTGACCCTTGCACTCAAAGCACTCATTCCAATGAAGACGGTGAAGGTTCGGGTGGCTGCGGGCCTTCGCTTCCTTGACATCTGCCACGAAAGCAGCTGGGTCGAAGCTGCTGTCGAGCACGTAAGTTTCTGACCTCGGACACAGGTCGCCAAGGCTTGAAAATGGCAGTCAACGGAAATGTTTGCATGCTCTCCCGCTGAGGGCAGTGCTTACACATGGAGCCTTCAAAGCCGGCGGCGTAAGGCAAGGAAAATCTGCTTCAGCCGGCTGCAAATGCTGCGCACAAGATGAGCGAGACATGCTGCATTCGGCCATGGGGAGGTGCAAACACGAGGCATCGAAGGGTTTGCTAACACTCTGTGGCCCCGTCTCTTCGGCCAACTCTGCAGCGCCCTCTGCACCGAGGCCTGATACCAATGACAAAGTGTCCACCAGTTTGAAGTCACGACCGCTGCGGTCGAGAGTGTGGTTTGCGGGCGTCCTTGGTAGCAGTAGAACAGAACCACCACCGTCTCGTCACCGCCATCTGTCCCAATGCCTCGCAGGTCCAGTCGCACTATGACACTGTAGTAACAGGATAGTAGATGTGTAGCAGGCGTCAGGACCTGTGACAGAAACATACGCGCACGCACACACACACACACAACCCCCACCCACGCACACACACACACACACACTGATGGATCCGGCCAAGAGCAAGAGAGGGAAG